GTGCTTGGGCTGGCTCTGTCGTGTCTGTCCTTGCAGGGGAAGGAGGTGCTGTGGGGTGGGGGGAGACCAACTTGGGGCTGCTGAGCCCCTCAGCTCCCTGAGCCCTGCCAGGCCCTGTCTAGGGCCAGGGCTGCTCCAAGTCAAGCTGAACAGAGCTGGGGGCAGGGCTCTTGTGCCCTGGGCAAGGGGCAGGACGTGGTGCTTGGGGCTCTGGAGATGCTCTGGACAGGAAGGCAGGAACAGCCTGGCTGGGAGTGTGTGGGTTGCAGCTGGCAGCAGGACCAGGGCTGGAGCTGAGCAGAGTCCCCAGCTTGCGGCTGCATGGGGGCTAGGGGCTGCTGTGTCCCTGGGGAGATGGGCAGCTCCAGCCTCTGCCTCCTCATGGGCATTGCAGGAGGGGACCTGGTTGGATGACTGAGCACCCACCCCCTGCCACCTGCTTTAACTCAACCTCTGAGCTCCATCAAGCCACGGGGACCCACAACAGTGCCGGTATGGCCCTGGCCTCGGAGCCCCCCTGCTCTCAGGCCCTGTGAGTGGCTGTTCCCCGCTGGGTGCCATGGCTGCTCAAACAACTGGCATAAAAAAGCACTCACTGATCATGAGTGGCAAATTGCTGCCGAACTAGCAGCCCCAAGGGCCAGCCTGACACCCACAGTGGCTGCAGGGCACAGTATGGGGAGCCTGCACAGGCAGCATGGTGCTAGGCTGAACTGTGGGAAGCAGCAGGAACTGAGGGGGCTTAGCCAGGTGGTGAATGGCTGCACACAGGGTCCTCCCATCTCCATGTCGCCCTGGCCAGGAAGGGCCCTGCTGTCACCCTGCACTGCAGGAGACCCAGGCACAGCCCTCACCCAAGTACCGAGGCTATGCTGCAGCAGCAGGACACAGGCTTGGTGACAAGGAGGGTGGCAACAGGCTCCCAACTGCTGCTTCTTGGCAAGGGCACCCCCCTGCTGCCCAGCATCTGGGGGGGGCCACCTCCTCCCCAGTGGAGCACCCGGTGCAGCTGCAGTCCCTGTTCAGGTTGCCAGGGTCCTGCCTCACCTGGCAAGAGGTGCTCACCCCCGGCGGACATCGTGTTCTTTTTGAGAGGAGCCCCTGCCCAGTGCCCCTGGCTGCAGCCCAGCCCACCATGCTCCTGCTGCACCACCCTGCACCGCATGGGCCTTGGCCTGGCCATGGCCTGCCCCAGGGCTCAGCACGGCCAGGGAGAGGCCTCTGCTGCCAGGCTCTTCCCAGGGAGCTGTGTGGCACTGAGGCCACAGGGGATGTGGCTCAGCATCCCCACCATGGCGGTGGTCAGCACGGCACCATAAGCACACACTGGAGCTGCCACAGGGTGCCAGTGCCTGCCGCTAAGCTCAGACCCACCTCTGAAATCCTGCCGGCAGCTCAGGACCAGCCAGGCAGCCGCACTGCTGCGTGGGTGTCCCAGGCGCAGCCCTGCTCCTGCCTGCAGCAGTAACACGCCAGCTCAGCACCATTCCTGGTGCTGAGCTCCTGCCTGGAGCCACCACGCATGGCAAGCAGCTGCAGAGCCCCAACCCTCCCCGCACAGTGGGACGAATGTGCTGTTGCGCCAGGACCAACGCGCTGTGAGGAGCTGGGTCCAGGCTTTGGCCAGGGCAGCAGTGGCCAACGGTGACCTGCTGGGCATTGGGGTCTGCTCACCCCATCGCATCTTTCTGTGAATGGCTAATGGGGCTTTGGGGATGAGCCCCAACCCCAGCCCTGCTCTGGGGGTCCTGCACTGCAGTGGGGTCTGGGCTGAAGTTGCTGGCTCCCCTCAGCAGGATCACGGCTCTTCTTAGAAGATTTAAGGCACCTGCTACAACTGTTCCAGCAAATGAGTTCCCATTAGAGAAACATCAGGCACTCCCTGCAGTCTGCATTGCAAGGTGGGAGGGGAACTCCTTGGCGTGGGTGCAAGAATCAGTCTTGATCTGCTGCGCTTGGGCAGGGGAACAACAAAAAAAAACAACCACAGAAAACAAAGTCACAGATTTGAAATTCATGCCATTTCTGCCCCCCCCCCGCTTTTAACTCCACGCTCATTTTGCCCCTGCGAGTCACAGGTTGTCAGTAAACAGAAGCTTAGAAGAAGGGCCCAGAGGCACTTGGAGAAAGGAACATCATATGAGAAGTTTTCATGTAAACTCAGAAACAGCTCTCAGAGGCCCCAAGAAACAGCAGGTCCACCACACTCCAGCTGATGTTTCCACACAAATAAGTTATACAGCAGGCAAGCACCCGCACATGGTGAGAGAAGAAATAAAGTACTTTTGTCATTTTTTAATAACAACAGTACCTGTTTGGGTTTCAGAGGCAGCTCATTTACATGCATATGCTCAGCCCAGGGTAGATGTGTCACCATGGCCGAGTTGTTTGTTTTTAATGACAAACTTCCACAGTCTCTGAGGGAGAGGGGCCACATGCTGCAGAGGGGTTATTTGTGCTCTCAGCAGCCTGCGGATCGCGGGAAGAGGCCAGCAGCTCAGAGTCACAGCTGCTTTGGGGGCAAGGAGCAACTTTGCCAGCTCCAGGTGACAGAGCTGATGCACACTGAAGCAGCGGGGTGTCAGCAGGAGGGTGCATGGGTCAGCTGGGGGCTGCGACGCAGACTGGAGCGGAGCATCAGCTCTGCCCCAGCACGCACGTCGCCTGTGCCCAACGCCTGCTCTGCCTGTACCCTACAGCAGGCAAAGCACGGGCCTGAGCCACTGTGGCTCAGGACTCAACCCACTCCTCAGCCCGCTCCCACAGCCTGACTGCGTCCAGGACAAGGGCAGGGCTCAGCTTGAGCTCACAGAGCAGCAGAACAGCCAATTTAGTCAAGGGGCAAATCCCTGAACTGCCTGACAGCAGCAGCAGCCATTACCTTTGGTCAGGAAGGGAAAAGCCCTAGTCCTGGCTGAAGAGCTGCAGCAGAACAGCCTCTGCACAGCAGCAGACGAGCAGCAACAGCAAGGGCTTGCCCGGACCTGCTGGAGGCAGGTGTCTGTTCCCCCGACCCCGGGGAGCATCTCCAGCAGGCAGGGGCCAGAGCAAGAGTCTTTTCAGCACAGCGCTCATGCTGCTGCCAGCCAGCAAGGCAAAACAGGCGTTACATTCCTAGAGAGGAAGCATCTTCCTTCTCCCCAAAAAGGGCAGCAGAAGTTTGGGCTCACTCCTGCAACCCCCAGGGCTGCCCTTTCTTCTCCTCCAGCTGCAGAACTCGCCACAGAGCACAGCCCCACTGCTGGAGGAGAGTCCTTTAGCAGTGTGCTGGCAGCCCGGGGAAGGGAGAGCCCAGAGTATGACACAGGGTGCAGCAACTGAGGCTAGGAGCACCAAGGACCAGTCAGCCTTTCCTTGCCCTACTGCATCCCTCCCCAGCAGGAGCGTCTGGGTCTCAGCAGTGGCCTTGAGGCTGGAAGGGACAGCTGGGAGGAGCCCAGGCTGAGCGGACACACAGCATCACCCATACTCAACAGGGCGCAGGGATAGGACTGCCATTCCTGCCACAGGCACCTGAGGGGCTCCAGCTACATCAGGAGAGGACAGGAGGTTCTGGGTTCTCCAGTCCCTCCTGCCCAGTGCTCAGCAGGGAGTGATGCCACAGAGGTGGGTGTCTTGGCTCTTGTCATGGATGACACGTTCATTACGGAAATGCCAATTATGTGAAAACAGGCTCTGGGATTAGCAACTACACAGCCATAAGACCCTGAGCTCCATGGCTGATCTGTCCCCACCGCAGCCCCTCCAAGCAGCCAGACAGACCCACAGCGGCTGCTCACAGACAGTGCTTTGGCTTTGTGATACACCAACGCATGAGCAGAAGAATTCAGGCCACCTCCTCCCTCCATCATGGTTACATGCCTGTCAAACTGCTGAGAAACTCACCTTTCCAGTGCAAATTCTGCTGCACTTTTAAAGTCAAGAAAGCATAAAACCCCAGAACATAGCAAAGACCCCCTCACACAGTCTAGTTCAATTTTCTAGCGAATTCAGCAAAAAACTCCTTCCATAGTGAGAACAGCTTTTAGCCAGAAGTGAGTCCTAACCCCTGCACCAGAACAAACCCAACGTGCCCCACAGCTCAGGCTGGACTGCCCAAGGGCAACAAGCTCATTCTTGGGCCACAGCAGCCTCTCCCTGGCTCCCATCAAAGCTCCAGGGAAAAGCTGCTGTAGAATAGTCTCCAGCCAGGGGCCTGGCTCCTTTCTGCTACCTCAGCTCGAGGCCCAAAGAGACCAACACACAACTCTTCAACATTTATTAATGATCAGCAACAAAAGTTTACAACAGAGAGGACAAGAGAACTGGTGTAGAAGGACCGTCCAACACAGTGCAGGGAGCAGCCCAGGACACCCACCACAGCACCCTGGAATGTAAGAGGCAGAAAGGGGCTCAGCCCAGCACCCATCCTCCTCAGGCCCTGCACCTCGCCACAGAGGCACGTGTGCTGCATGTCAGCCCTCAGAAAACAGCCATGAAGTTTCAGCTGACAAGGTCCCTCCCTTAGGTAACGCATCAGGCACAAGGTGGACTCTGGCGGCAGCAGCAAGCAGGGCTTTGAGCACGGTCTACATGCAGCACCAGGTCCTGCTGCCTCATGACACGAAGAGCCTTTGGCAAAAGCCCCCAGGGTTCCCACACCCCTGTGGAGAAATGCCTCAACCACCAGGGAGATCACAGAACCAAGGGTCCCTGTGCCACCAGCCACATGCCCCTCTCAGCAGCTGCCGTGCTGCTGCCTGTTACTGGGGCAGCAATCGATTCACTCCAGTCACAGCAGAGAGAGGCTTTATCCAACTAACCCAAAGCAGCTTTGGGTCTGGTATTTGTGAAGAGACAGCAGCTGAGAAGAGGCAGCGTGGCGAACCCCAGAGCACAGGGCCCGTTGGCATCACCAGCAGCTGGCACACCGATGGCCCCGTGTCTCTAACGAAAGCTCACAGGTGGAACTGTGGGTGCCATGTCCTTTCCCTGGGGAGGCCGTTCTGTCCAGCCGCCCCCACCATCGCCCAAAGGGCTGCTCTGGAATGCAGACTCCAGCCAGGACAGCCAAACCTGGAGGGGCAGAGGGGGCCTGGGTGGCTGCTCCATTTCCCTCCTACTAAAAGCCAGAAATGGCAGAAGGTAAAAGCACATCAACATGTTAAAACATTAGTTATAATTAAAACCGGGTTTCTTTTGTTTTGTCCAATCTCCTCCTGAGAAAGGGGAAGGGGGCTGATTAATGGAGGAAAAACTAGGCAGCAGGATCCCGACTCATTATGTCTGCATAATTAGTGCAGGAAGAGCTAGGACAGAAGAGGGTAGGACAGCACATCCTGCATGCCGGCAGCTGTGTCCCCGTTCAGGCATCGCATCTCGAAGAGCTGTCTGCTCCTCAAGAGCATGAGCCTGTGGCGCTCTGCGACCCATGCATTGACTCTGTGCTGGCTAGTGCTTCTCCTCTTCCAGTCTCTTCATGGCTTCCAACACAGCCAGCTCTTTTGCTTCCTTCTTCTGGTTCCTAGCTTCAAATTCCAGCCTGCATCAATCACAAAATGCCACGAGATTCTCATTCATCCAAATCTCTAGTAGACTAAAAGCACCTGGAGCAGGGGAGCACTGCTTTCTCCTAAGATGCTTTGTTCTGAGTGTACTTCAGAAACCTCACCAGTAACCCCCGGACTTCTCTTTAAGAGCCAGCACCCAGAGCTTCCCATGACTGTTACCATCACTCTGAAGTCCTAGGCTCCCACACTGGTTGAACACTACTTATTTCTCCCTCTGTGGAAGATGCTGCTATTCCATACTTAGTGTCGTAATACTAAAATGAAATTTGCCACTGACCTGAGCCAAGATCACTGAAGGTGAAGGCCTCAGGCCTAAAAGAGCAAAGCTCTGAAAGAAGCAACATGCTTTTTTCCCCAAGAATACAACAAGGAAATTTTATCATTAATAGAGAAGGAGGAGGAAAAAATAATAAAACATGCTGTGAAGTACATTCTGACACAGTAGAGTTTAGCGGTTCCTTTGTCTGTACAGTCCAGTACATCCACATTTAAGCAGCCTGCCCAAGCTACAGAAGATGAAGTATCAGTTCACTGACTCTGTGCCTTTAGATAACCCCTTCTCTTCCTGTTTGATCCCATTAATTAGTCCTCAGACAAGCTGGACAGAACAGTATGCAACAGAACTGTGAGATGAAGAAAGCCAACCTGTTCTTGATGATTCTTTGCACAATTAAATCTGTGGTGAGATTGCTGCCACTGTCCACCAGCTGGAAAATGCCACGTCTCTTCGGTTCCTGTGAACAAACACAGCAGACTCAGCTGTGAAAAACATGCAAGACCTCTGGGTTTACAGCTCAGTAGTGAAAGCTGAGCAGAAGTCATAGCAGGTCCCATGGACACCCAGCCAGGCATGACACAATATGATCTCCTAGGAGGCAGAATAACTAACTGCTGAAAGCAAAGGTTCACGTATATGGGAGCTGAGCAAGGTTGCCCATGACTAGCATAGAGCAAAGATTACAGGATTTCTCACTCTGCCATGAAAGCATCAGAAACAGACAAGACAAAGCAGTGACTAAAAGAATGGAGCTGTTGTGAATGATTTACAGGCTCTGCCCCAAGGAGCTACCCTCAGGGGTGGACGAAAAACAGCATCACCTGCCAAGGACTTGCTTGGGTAGCATCCTCTGCAATACAAATTCTCAGCTCAGGAACACAAAGTAAGCCATACTGTATATATCAAATGCTGATAAAGAAGCACAGACAACAGCAGCTAGTAGCTTACCTCATACGGATCAGAACCGTCCTTGTCTGGCACCACCTCAGTCATCCCATGACACACAAGTGTTACCTGGTGAAGGACACAAAGTCATTGGCAAGATCCAAAAGATAACAGGAACCCTGCCACTGCACTCACTGCAGCATAGCCTGGAGATCAGCAAAGCCACCCCTCCTGGACCAGGCTTGGCAGTGTATCTGGAGCTCCCTGTAATCCTGCTGAGCAGGACTGTTTCTCTTCTACACCACTGTGACTTCGTGCACCACTTCAGGTCCCTAAGCACATCACACACCAACACCTTCACGTCCATCTATACGCAAAGACTCTCACCTTGAAGTGATCCAGCAGATCAGCAGTGACAGCATAGGGGGCTCCAATCACCACTTCTGAGACGTACTAGAAAAGAAACCAGGTAAAGAGTCCAGATCTGGAAAAAAACCAAACCAACCACAACAAAACAGAGGCCAGTCTGTTTCCTAAACAGACTTGAGCGGGTCATCTGGTTATGGAGTTAGGAATTCAAATAAAGGAACAGGAAAGTGGGTTTCGCAGCCACTGCTTGTCACATAGCATTTTTTTGTTCCACTAATGAATATGCTTTCTGGTAGTGCATATATAGCAAATACAAAAGTTTGTGCTCAGGGCACACATTTCTGGGCCTCCCCACATTTCTTTCCCAGGAATTTTCTCCCCTGCTGCAGAGCGCAGACAGTTTTCTACAAGAACATGGCTGTCTTTGCATAGAGCAGAGCAGCACTCTGCAAGGCATCCTGCCTTTTCGCTGCCAGTGGAATAGAGGTGGACAAGTTCAATAACTCAGATTAGCCAGGATGACAGAGGCGCCTAGCGATCCCTCCTGAGAGCACATCAGCACCTCTGGCAGCCTAAAGTGATCGGTCTTGTCTTTGCCTTTTCAGTGCATACCAAAGAACTCATGCAAGATTGTTGGCTACAGATGAACACCACCCAGCTCCAGGCAACTTCTGGAACAGTGCAGAGGCACCTACACAACAGGCACTTACCCTACAGGCCAAGACACTGAGTGTTCTCTCATGGATGTTCATTATGGGATAGTTCTTCCCTTTATAGCGATTTACCTCCTAAGGCAAAACATCAGGCACAATTAGAAGAGAGACAAATCAACCCCCTTCCCTCTCATTTTCCCCCAACACGAAAATCCTGTATTGGCCGATACATCCCTTTCCTGTCTTCCAGAGCACAGCCTGCTTGTTTCAGAAAGAACAGGTGCCAAGCTGCTCTGTCTTCGGACAACATTATATACAGACCTGATCAAAATGCAGCCCTGCAATGATGTAGGGTTTCTCTGCCAGCTGGTGAACCTTCTCCAGGAAATCTACATGCCCAATATCTGTAGACCTGTTTAAGGAAATTGAAGCTAACATAGAAAACAGGGAAAGGAAGACAGAAACAGATGCACTGAAAAACCACAGTGGGAGACAGGAATCCCAAGGATTTTATTTTTGCATTACTCATTGCCTGTGTCCTAAGAACAGTTGCCTCCTTCCTCCTCAGGCTTACAGGTTCTGGGCAAAAGCCAGACATCTTTTCAGCTCCACCTTACATGGACTCAGTTTTGCCTCTGTCCAGAATTTAAACTTGCTTCAGGTGTTTTGGCACAACGCCTCAAAGACTGTCCCAGGAATTAAGTGTCTGCTCCAGATGCCCTGTGCAGTCACTAGGTCTATGACAGCCATTCCTCATGAGGGACTAGAGTGTGACCACAAGAGCATGGAAAGTATCCAGGTGTCTTCCTGAAGTCCTTCAACAGCCACAAATCTCTCTAGAGACGAGCTATAGCTACTTTCTCAGGGTCCTGTGACTAAAAAACTGCCAGTAAGAACTCCTGCCTCCTCCCTCGCATGCACACCTACGGAGTGGGGAGGAAGAGGCAAATATCCTAGAGGCTGGTGCCTCAAAACAGGAAAACATCAAACAAAAAGACCAACGCTACTTTCTTCAGAAAACAGTCAAGGATACGGAACAGGTCGAAGGCTCCAGCCACATAGATGATAGTGTCTCCTGGCTGTGGTTCTTTCCCTGATGCAAACTGGATGATCTTCTGAGATGTCTGTAGGAACTGCGAGACGCCAGTCCAGGGACTGTGACCTTTTGGCCCCTGGGAAAACACACACCGCACAGGTTTCCTTTTCAGGCTCCAGGAGCGGGTTTGGACAACACACAGAATGCAGCTACAGGCAACTTGCTAGCCTTAATTTGCTAGCAAGTATCACAACTCTTAGCAGCTTGGACTGCCTACATTCCTGGCACCAAATATTTGTGCAATCTCACAGAAGCCCTTTTTTGCCCTGTCAAACAGCGTCTAAATCGATCCCTCAACAGCCAGCTAAGGAGATGCTGAGAAGAAAGCTCAGAAAGGAGGAAAGCAACAGGGCAGTCTTGGATTTCCAGGAGAGGCAAGGCTTACTAATGGAGACAACACACAACCCACCTATGCTCTTCTCAAGCCTTAAGGCAGCCTACTCATTCATCCGGCTGATGGCATGCCAAGCTGGGAGGGCATCACCAAGAGCTCCAGCAAGGGCCCGATCCCAGCGCCCGAACGTGGAGCTTTATCCCCACCATGTGGCAGTTTTGGAAACAGCCACTGAGTCACTGCCCCGGCCCCTGCTTCACTCCTCTCAAGCCAGTTGCTCTACAAGACTTGAAAGAACAAGGACAACTCAGCCAAGACCAGGGCAAGCCATACAAACGGCAGCATGCAGAAGGGGGGCTCAGCTGACATGGGTCATGCAGGGTACCTGGTGCCCAGATACTCTCCCCAGATCCAAGCACCAGGAAACAGCCATGCTGGAGCAACAGGCCCCACAAAGCTTGCTCAGAAAACCCAACATGGTGGGGAACAAAGAGGTTCAGCCTGGTAAGCAAACCCCCTGTGAGTAAAAGAGACTTACTCAAGCTGTAGGTCCAGGCGCTCATTAATCAGGGACAATCCAACACCGAGGGGAAAAAAAGGGACTGATAGCTCTTTAGAGGTAGCCCAAGACATGAGCTAGACATGAAGGCAGAGAACCCCAGGAGGACTGCTCTGCTACTTGAAGACCAGACGTATGAATTCTGCAGTACAGCATGCTAGCTATGTGCCTGCTACATAAATGCTTCCCAGACCTAATGCAGCACTAAAAGGAGCATCCACAGAGGCTGTCCCTAGGCTGGAACTGCAGGTGCTTGGGTCCCAAAGGAAGCAGTGATAAAAAAAATTTACAAGCAAGCCAGACAAACAGCAAAGGCTCAATGGGTGCAGCAGCTCTATGGCACCACTGAAGGACAGTTCACTCGCTGGCCCTGTGCGGCCACACCTGCTTATTTCACCGACTACAGTAGCTACTTCACAGAGGCAGCAGACATTTACTGAGGTTACTACTATATGTGGGGGCAAAGCCAAGCCTGCAACACAGGCCAGAAAGCACATTTGGAATCCTTCTCAGACAGGACAACATCCAGACGTCCGTGACCAGAACTCACATTACCTTCCCAAAGTTGTCAGTGTGCTTCCGATAGTCTAGGTCCTCATCCTGAAGGGAGATAAAGAGTCGAAATGTTTAAGCACTCACATAGTTCATCCAACCAAGAACATGCTTGTGTGTGGCAGAAGTGCTGGGAAGTCCAGGCTCAGACTTCACACCATTGATCCCTGGCACTGAATGCTGACAAACAAGTTAATATCTAAACAAGAGTCGTGTCTCAGCATAAGTCAGATGAAACATGTCCTTATCTGATCCCAGTCTGGCACCAGAGAATGATGGTGGTTCTTGCCCAACCTGCAGACCTAGTAGCGTTGCACACCTACATCCTCCCTCAACTACGCAAGCCCCTAACAGGACTGTGTCCCTCCTTCTTACAAAGGCATCCACTAGAGATGGGCTCAGATCTCTGCAGACAGCTAGTAGCACTGGGCCAGATCTTGGTGTGAACGTACGTATTTGACAGCTAAGCCAATCTAACAGCTCAGCACACTAAAAGATCTCCCTCCACCCTTGAATTCTTTTGTGGGTCCCTTGTCTTATCCCTGCTGTTACCTAGGTGATTCCATTCACTGGACTGCTTGTTCACCAAGTAAATTCAACTCATTAACCAATGTAAAACTACTTCCTTTATTTTCCCTTGGTTAGGTTAGCTATCTACCAGGAAGTGAGCTGAGGAGACTCAAGAAAGGTTTGATAAGACTAGAGACAGCAGAAGGCAGAAGCATGCAGCTCAGTGGGAAGGAAGAGGACATTCCAATTCTGGCAGCACTGGGCTGATAGATCAATGTAGCTGCACTATATAGTTTCACCCTTGGAGAAGCCATAGGCTAGCCTGTAGTTCCCATAATGTTCCTGAAGACCACAATCACAAGGATTGAAGCTTTTATCCCCCCACACCTTTTCAAAGCAGCATGAGCTGAGATCACACTGTGATCTCAGACAGGCTTAAGCAAACATAAGCAGGTTGTTTTGCTGCCATTGCACATAATCAGCTTGCCAGTTCTCTGTGCACCTAGGAGACAGACCCAGGAGCCCTACTGGCATTTGGAACAGCAAAAGAAAAGAGCTGGTATATGCCCTGGACTCCAAACTCCCACCCAAAGCCCTCTGACTCACTATGTTGCTGTGGTGAGCCTTAGTCATGAGCAGCATGCGGCCAACGAGGTCAGTAGTGGACACACCTTGGGTGCGTTTGCATTCCCTGCAGGGAGACAAGCAAAGGATAAAGCAGAAGCCACAGGAGCATATGCCTCTTTCTCTTGCCACCATTACCACAGGAACACCTGTGACACCTGATAAATCCAAACCAGGGGCCATCCTGAGAAAGTCTTCCTTCTACCTGCTCTTGATATAAAGTATAGCATACATTTGCTGAGCCTCTTTATTTTCTTCATGCCACAGCACCTACTCATCGGAGAAAAACTTACCTTGCACAAACTTCCCAACTGAGCTAACTCCCATGGAGGCTTCAAGACCAGAACTAGCATCTGCCAGGAACAGGAAGGCCCGCCAGTCAGCTGCTAGTCTGCAACACTTCCCGGAAGCCAAAATGGTGGCAGGAACTGAAGCTCCGATACACGTTAACAGCAAAATTAAAGCGTGACCTGAAGATAGCTGTGTTTTGTCTGACTTCCTTTCAGGGCATGAACTCCCAGAAACTCTGCCCAAAACAGGATAAGAAGGTAAGCAGCAACAGGTTACCTGTATCGGCCTGCTGTCTTCACTTCCTCATAGGTATCCTTGCCATCTATCGTTAAGGTAATGTCATCTGCAGAGAGAGAAAAGCCTCAGAACTGTGCCCCAAGCCCTCCTGCACCGCAGCTGGTTTAGAACGAGGGCAGCAGCTGAGCAGGCCCAGCACACACACCAGACCAGAACTCCTGCAATCCAAATCCCTGTGCCCTGGGGGATACACCTTGCAGCCCGTGGAAATGCCAGGGATTTGCAAGACTATCCTATCTGTGAAGACAAGCATGTTCCTGGATGCTAAACACCACTAGCCATCTGGTCCACTGGTTTTTAGTTAGTCCAGAAAACCTGAGCCGGTTGCCCTTCCCGTGAATCCAGCAACAAGCACAACTGAATTATTGTCTCAATGACAATAAACAGCTACCATCAGTCTCAGTGTTAAAAAGCACCTTAAGGTTAACTTCTCTAGAACTGGTTTTAACTGTTGGTTCATGTTACAACTTTTTCAGTCAATTGAACAGTCCTCCAACAGCCAGTTCTTCCCCTCAGTAATGGCACTCTACAGTGACTTCAAGTTACCCTTCTACAGAGTTAATTCTGGTTCATCTTTGGCATGGTTCCCAGCTCACTCTACAAAACCCTCTCTCACCTACTTTTAGCGATAGTATAAAATCTTCACAAGTGAAAACCAAAGCTGGCTTTCATTTGGCAAAACAGCCCGTTTACAGTGCAGGCGCTGGCCGCTCACGAGTGCGCTCTCTCACACCGTCGGGCGGCACACTTAGGGAAGCTGAGAAGCTCTTCTGAAACCCCACACGCTCACCTCAGGGCACAGGCACAGGAGGAGAAGAGAACATACTGCAAGCACAGCTCTGCGTGCCAGGAGAGAGGCAGAAACAGCAGGGTTGCTGTCTGTCACCTTCCCAGTTAAACTCGGCTATTTCAAAACTTATCTTCTGCATAAACACAACCTGGCAAAACTGCAGCGTGCAAGGGTGTTATTCAGGTAGAAGTACTGAATGATTTGGCAGAGGGGATAAATGCAGGGCAACTGGAGTAAAGGCCGTGAGTGCTCTTCTGCTGCCATAAACCTTCACCAAGTCTAGTAAGGGGTCACGTACCCCAGACACATTCAGGGCAGGCAATTAAGTCAACAAGGAATTTGATAATCACACTGTCCACATGACAAAGTGCATCTATCTTATAGAAGATTATGATTCATTTACATTTAATGAAGTACGTGGCTTATCGATAGCAGGTGACTGGGATCAAATGAGGAAGCACATGTGAAATGAGTGCAAAGACTACTCCTGATTAAATAATACTACCTTCAGAGGGGTAGGGAGGAGGGGCTGAGGCAGAATGAACACACGAAGAAGTCCCAGGAAGGGACAGAGTACAAAAGCAAGAATGTTTCCTCAGAACACTGGTTCTCTTCGGTGACTGTAAAATGAAAAGTGTTCATAATAAGAACTAGGTCTCTGACCACACGGTCAGCTAAGCCCTTGAACAGCTTATCACCTGCATAAGGAGAGAGAAGCTTTTCAGATCTGATCTCATCCCAGGACAAGTAGATATAAACATGATTGTATTTTTGCATGCTTACCTTTTTAACAGCGTTTTTCACATTTAAGTTTTGTAAATTACTTTCTCCTATGCACAAATTTCTGCTGGTGCTAAGGGGAACATCAGGATAATTGTCAGACAACGTGTTTCACCTTTGTAAGTGAAAGGGATGCTTAAAATCAAGGGATCTGGCCACTCTTAGGGTCCCTAGCACACAGGTGTATCTCTCCAGCATACCAGTAGTCGTCATATTGCTCAGGTGTTGGTAAGGCAGATCCCTGTACACATGAGGTATCCCCTGATGGCCAGTGCCAGCCAGAATGTTCCTCAGTTTACAGCAGGGAAACCAAGCGCACACAAGCCCCAGAGGGCCTGTGTTAATACAACTATCGCCTCAGAATACCACTCACCACCGTGCACACAGAAGTCACAGTTATATTTGTCCAGGGTTTCCAGTGTGGTGACATAGGGAGCTCCTGGAGCAATCTCATCCACCCACTTGATGGCTTGCACCATTTTGTACCTCTCCTCCTGTGTAAAGACAGGGGGGCCCTTGTGCTTGGCAATCTCCTCTGGGCAAGAAACAGAAAAACCCAGTTAGAAGCATGTACTGCAGCTACAAAGACTCTCATCTACAGGAGCCTCAGTCATTTCATGGCTACGTGAACTTCACTGCAGGCCTAAACTCAGCTTGGAATTGGTCTGCAATAGAGAAGGAAGCCCCAGCTAAATCAGAACAGATTTTAATTCAGTTGCATTTCCTAAGTGTGAAACAAGGGCCCTGGAATTCACTTGGAAGGCAAAAGGTCTCAGTGCCTCCCTGAACCCACATACTTCCTACTGGGGGGACTACCTGGGCCTCCTGGCAGCCCCTGAGGGGAAATTCCCCTTTTAAAAAATAGCTTCATGCTACACTCAGTTCATGCGAGAAAACATGCATCCATAAACCAATTTAAAATCCATCTTCACATGCAAAAACTAGTTCCTAGTACTCACTTTTCAGATGGGCTTGAAACAAGTTTTCTCCACACAGTAACTTGCTTTGGAATATCAGTTCTGCAGTTTGTATCAGCAAAACCAGCCTGATTTTCAACTGTTTTTACAGCACAGAATACAGACCACCCCTCAAACGAAGCTCTGAACTACCTAACCCTCACTCCGGAAAGCGTGAAAGGGGTTGCTCCACTCCCTTACCCAGGGAAGATACTTTCCTTTTGGAGGCTGCTGCTCCTTGAGGAGATGCAGGAAGAAGCCTGCTTTGTATCAGGAGATCTCCGTTCTCTCGGGGCTAATGTTGCTGGGCTAGAGGCAGCAGGAGGTGAAAATCTGAGAAAACCTCTTACCATCTGTGTGGACTCCAACAATCAGATAATCTCCCATGGCCCGAGCCTGGCGTAGCTGGTTCGAGTGGCCATAGTGCACCATGTCATAGCTAGAAAGACAACGGCCCCGGTTCAGTCTGGGGACACGAGGGCGCACGTTGCTGGGAAGCTGCAGGACGTGACCTTCCCCTTTTGCAGCGTTAGTGCGAGACCTTCCCCACGGGCTCAAAGGTTTAACGTCTCTCTGCTCTCTGTTACTCTGCCGGATTGAGGCGTCTACAGCGCGTTCATCGGGGGCAGGCGGCAGCGCTCCGTCACGCTACAACGCAC